TTGATTCTCCATCAATCATGTTTGAGAGTCTCAAGTCTGATCCTCAGGATCTTTTGAGGAGCGTTTGTTTCCAGAAGCTTTACTTTCACTGTTCCTCAGCGGAGGAATGATCTTCTCAAGCCTCCAGAACATCTCACATCTTCTGAGGAGCGGTTATTTCTTCAGCTCTCAATCACTGCATTATATGTTTGGAGCATTTCAATCTCATCTTACTGAGACAGATTACTAGAGATGTAGAGATGACTGATATTTAGATCATTTTATGTCAGTATCTGCTGTGCTGTTATAAAGATCTCATTGATTTATATTACAAGCATCAGAATTTCATCATATAAATATCAGCATCTGATCAGAGTCTCTGAATAAAATTGTTTTCCCTCCGTATCTCACTGTATCAGACTATATGAGCCATAAAAGCCTGGTGATCAAATATGATACTCAACAAAAAACATGTGAAATTTTTTAACATTTTGTCTACTTTTAAAAAATATTTAATTATATATTAATATTAATTTATACAGTATTGCATAATTAATTTTTTTTAAATATTTTGTCTGAAGATTCAATAAACTGTTCCATTTCAAAGAATTTAATTTTCTGACTTATTTCATATGTCAGGCTTTACAGGATTACTTATGCAATATTTATGAAATTTGATTTCAAAACTTCAAATTTGATGCAAGTTGTTTTTTTCTTTTAAAATAAGATTCTCTCTAAAATAATATGTCACACAAGTTTAACTAGAGCCCTATGATTTCCACAATGCAGAAAACGCAGACAGAATCACGAAATCCAGTCATAAAAATGGAATTTACTGTATAACACGGAATGCTCTGAGAGTCACTTTATGAGCGTTTGACAGTTTCATTTGAGAAAAACTGTCGTCATATATACACACTAACAAAACTCTTCACGGCAAACCATCAAAATAAAAGTACGGTTAAACTTGAAGAAATTGTGACTGAAATATATTACTCTTGTACAGTAGAATGTACATTTTAATGTAACACTACTACTAATAAAATTATTATTAAAAAACGTTAATTTTTAAGGAATAATCACACAATTTTGTCCAGCACCTTGTTTGCCCAAAACATATAAAGGGTTTAATTTTCATTGGATTACAAGAAAAATGTAATTAATGTTTTATGCCTTCATTTGATTACAAAAAAAAAAAAAAAGAATCATAAAATAAAAAAGTATTTCATTAAAAAAAGCATTTCATAGGGCCCCTAATTTTTTTTACTTTTAATAACTTGCTGTTAAATTGTACAAGACATGCTTTTTGATTATTTAAACTTTAATATCACCAATAAAATGGAGTCCAAAAAAATATAAATGAAAAAAAAAAAAAAAAACAGAATCCTGAAAAATTTAAACAGAAAAAAAATGGAATTTGACCAAAAAATAAAATAAAACGGAATTTGGGAAAAAAAAATAAAACGCATTTCATAGGGCCCTATTTAACGGGTTTCAACAGTGTGTTGAATGGAAAGTGAACTAAGACAAACTAAAACAAACCAGAAACTGATGCAAATCCACTTTTAAGGAACCGTGAATGCATAGAGAACTGGATTGGCTCCACATATGGAGTTAATTTAAAGTGGTTTGAGTGTGCAGAGGATGAGCAGACGTGTTTGCGCACCTGTTTCTGGTTGTTGAGGTGCATCTCTCGGTCGGCCACCTCTCTGCGCAGACGGTCCACGTCTTGACTGAGCTGCAGTCGCTCCTCGCTCTCCACCGTCAGCTCGTCCAGCTGTTTGGACAGGTAGAAGTTCTGCCGGTTCAGCTCGGCGTTCTCCTGGGTCAGCTGGGTCAGCTGCTCCTCCAGGTCTGTGATCACCTGTGACGACACTCACGTCATTCAGCAGCAGCATCCTAATCAAGACGCATGAATGCAGATCATTCCATTCATTAGTCATTCTACCGCAATCACTCTGTATTCTGACACTGCTGGAATATTCCAGATTCATGAACGCTGCAGTGAAAAAGATGCAAATATGGAAATATCAGGGCTCACAAGGCAGGGTTTTGCTAAAACAATAGTTTGAAAAGATTTAAACTTAGAGAGAGAGAGAGCATGTAGAATAGAGATTGAGATTTATAAACCTAATTTAATAAAATATAAGATAATCATGATTCAACAAACAAATACAAGTGTTATTTTTGACTTATAAGATTTCAGAAAATTAAATTTAAGAGGCACTGAGCATACAAATATTTAGCCAAGTTTATAGTTATATACATATTGTACATACATTTTATATCATTTTAAAGAAAAACACACACACACACACACACACACACACACACACATATATATATATATATATATATATACACACACATTTCTTTAAAGAAATAAAAATAATAATAAAATAAAAAATAAAAATATATTTACATATTACAGTATATATTTAAATATTATACATACAAATATAAACATTTATATGATATATATTAAATATATGTATATATAAAAGAAAAAAACATAATAATAATAAATACTTAATACACTTATAGTCACTCTTAACTTAAAATTAGACTGAAAGCAGCACTGCCAAGAGCACGCAGTATGCAAATATTACAGCGACATAATCGCTGGCAGATATGCTGCATTAATTATGCACTGTAATTATCATATAGATGATAGATACAAGACGACAAACGTCAGAATGCAAAAAGTGTGAATTTTTCACATGGAAATTCGTTACTCCTATGGCAAAGCTCATAAAAGCAAAATAAATCCCCGTGCGGGTTTGTTTCCGATGACTTCACTACATTCACTTTCACTTTAATTCACCTACATTCAGCTGCAAAGTGCATGTCGGTTATAACTATATAGCTGTAGCTTTTATTTGATTTTAAATATACAGTTAATTTTTAAATGACATCAAAAGATCTTCCGATTCATAATTATGACTCTGAAAAAGACCTGAGGTCAAAAACATATCATAAATATACCGTGAACAGATTTGGACTTCCTTAAATTAAATTATAACTACAAGCCCATGAGATACATAAGGCTGAAGTTATGAGTGAACGGCTGCAGATGGAGAGGTTCTGATCTGGGGTCTGTGATCAGGGATAAATGAGGCATTAAGGTGACTGCAGTGTACATCGATTCTGACTCACGGCCAAGAGAAGAAGATAGCGGCTGTTTGAATCAATAATTTCTCTCTATTCGATCCCTGAGGATCCTCAAGCTAAACGTGGAGGTTGAAATCCTGCTGGCAAGCACAACACACTAGGGCTGTCAAAATGGCTGAAAAACTAAATTCGAATTTTGTACTTAAATATGATCAATATTCGAATTATATTCGAATGTATAAGGCATAATTTCAGTTAGGGGGGAAAAAAAGCTTTTGGCTTCTTTCCTGAGGCCACAATAGGGCGCATCGAGCAAAATATTACTAATGCACGTCCCATTTGTCGGTATTTGTGGTATCACAAATCCCGGAAAATATGCGTTGTAGTCCAAACGAGTCGTTCGTTGTAGTAAAAAATATCTATATATAATATATAAAATATCTCCTTTTGAAGTGGACTTTGAGTTTTGTAACTTTGCAGATCTTTTTTATGCTCAAACAGCAACATTACAGACTAACTAAAGTTGAAAAAGTGAAAAAGCATAATAGGACCCCTTTAAACAATTAGAAACAAAACAGCATCATGCATGTATGTATAGTTTAATACAAAGGACTGAAAACCAATCACAGAGTACTTTCTTCATTTAAAAACTTGAGATGCGGTAGGATGGGGGAAAACCGCCATAAAGTCTTCAGACATGTTTTTTAAAAGTGTAACCTGCATTAATTTTACATGGCTTTCTAAACATTCGGCTCTCTTGTGGTAGACGCGAGTGCAACAGTGATAGATGTCCCCCTAGAAAATGCGATAAATATGTGTTCTGTGTGAACAAATTCGACGAATATTCGAAATTCGAAAAATTTTTTGACAGCCCTACAACACACCACTCAAACCTTGCTTTCGTCCAGTATGGAGATTTAGGATAGCTGTCTTTTCATTTGAAGTGAATGAAAACAAGGTCGAGAGAAATAGTCGTAATGTCTGTTCAAGTCTGAAAACGGTTAAGTGAAGTAGATATAAGAATGAAGTCTGAACCATCATATTCAACCCTCCAGAGCAGTGCAGGGGATTGTGGGAAATCTTAGCGTAGATCAGCACACACTTACCGAGCAGCTGTCCCTCAGTGCGTCAAACTTGCGTTGGATCTCATCTCTGTGGGCCTGCAGAAGGACACACACATGATGTGAATGTGTATCATACAGATATATCTGCTCGAAAGCTCAAAATTCAGTTTCTCAAGCCCATTTTACACCCTCTCTCTGACCTGAACAATTAAACAGCCTGTTTTTGGTTATCGTTGCGTTGGTAATCTCGCTCAGCAGTCTCTCCCAATAATATATCTACTGTAGTATAAATGGTAAAACTCAGTTCAGTTCACAGCAGTATGTAGTATGCAGTATGCCAGGGTTTCTCAAACTGGGGTTAGTGCAGTTCATGAGCTAATGAAAAGCTAACAATGAATTAAATCATAAAAATGTAAAATTTTAATAAATATTTTTAAATAAAAACCAAATAAAACATAAGATATAAATAATACATTTAGTGTTTACTTTTATATATATATTTATACAATAAACATCGTATTTGTTTACCTGCATGTCGTGTAACCCAGTATTATTTTAGAATCACTGATGTCCTATTATAGTTTGTATTAACATTTTTCTTTTTTTTTTACATTTTCATTTTAATTTTAGTTAAAGTTTTAGTAATTTTGGTGTGTTTTGTCTTTTTATTTTTATTAGTTATATATATACACACTACCGGTCAAAAGTTTGGGATCAGTAAGACTTGTAATGTTTTTTAAAGAAGTCTCTTCTGCTCATCAAGGCTGCATTTATTTGATCAAAAATACAGAAAAAAACAGTAATCTTGCATAATGTTATTACAATATAAAATAATGGTTTCTATTTTAATAT